AACATGATACATCTTAACTTGAGTGATTCACCATCAGCTTTAGATTGTTTAAGCCATTCCAGGGTAAAACGATCCACTTCTCCGCCCTTTCAAACCGCTACATAAATTTTACAAGATGCTTGGATTCAGCGCTAAAAATCGAGTCAAACAGATTGGACTGACAGAATGGGCCATTTACATGCTCTGTGGTAAATGCGAAATAGAAAAGTGATTTATATGTTACAAGCAGTTTTATCGAATGCGACTAATAAAGGTATATGTACACCCGTACACTTCCTAATCAGTTACCATTTAAAGAATAGCTCAAAAAAAAACCTAGTTGATTCTCTTAAGACATTGAGCACGAAGACAAAGTTTTTATTGTAAAATAAAATTTAGCTTATTCTTCCAGTAGTTACCTTAGGCTATACCACCTATGAATGACTGGCAAAAAGCATATTTTTTGTAGATTTTAATGGAAAGCAACTTCTTGCATTTTAGCAGAACGAATCAAAATTGTCAGTTTATAAGGTTTTTAAATGTTAATCTAGGAGTAATTTGTTATTCTGGGTGGTTTTTGGGTGCATTTCAATCCCAACATTTCACCCTAAAAGGTAAAGGAATGACGTGGTTGAATCTTTTGTCGGAAAACCGCATATTTCAAACTTGTCAAGTTAGCTACAAAAATTAAATGCAAAGTAATCCTTGCGCAGGACTTTGCAAGTGGAGAGTAACTCTAATGCATCGAAAAAAGTGAGATGAAATGTTTGATACAAGGACTATAAATGTTACAATGCGTAACATAAGAACTCGTCCCAAACATCGCGATTTTAGAAATGGAGCACTTGAGCACGTTGAGAGGCCTTAAAAACCGTTATTAGAATCAACTATTAATCACATCTAACATAATTTTAAATCAAATTTTTGCCAGAACCTCTCGAGTTGCATTCTCATCTATTTTCCATTGGCCACTTTTTTCTCCCTCTTTGATTGGTTGGACTATAATGAATCGACAGAAGGCAAAAGCGCACCAGAGGAGGCAAAAAACCCATTAAAGCAAACCACTCATTCAGCGACAATTTATGAACCAATCTTCTGGGCGCCAAGACCTTGTTAAGCTAGGAGAATATTGACCTCACCTTCAGCTAGCTTTAGATGCGTCTTGATACAACTATAGGGTAATTTTAATTTCATGCTAGCAACCTTGAAACACGCCCTTGAGCATTCTGAGAGATTGAAGAACTTGCAAATGTGAATGGTGGTTTTTATAGTTTTGTTTTGGCTACTTGCTCCGACCTCCCCTTCTCCCTCCGACTTAATAAAAACAAAGTGGCAACCGAAGATAGAAGTGTCAACTTCATTTCAAAACTCAGGGGAAGCATTAAAACAATAGCTTATCTCCCTTTCTGATCCTGTTTTTGAGCATATCTGCTTTGCAAAAGTGTGGTAGAACAGACCTTCCCAACCACCTAATTCGAATTATTTGGCATTATTTGCAATTGGCTGTTTTTTTATCAGGAGATAATTTACTTTCGTTTTGGTTAGATAACTATGTAGAAAAATAATTCCCTTTTAGCCTTGTTATTTGCGTTTCACTTCATGATTCCGCACCAGAACCACCCTCAATATAGGCTTGATTTATTTAAGGAGCCGAAAACGTGGTGGTTTGTCCTTACTGCAGGACTAATTGTTAGCTTAATTAATAATATTATTTTAATGAACGATCAAAGTACGTTTTACATCGCCACTAGTGCTAAAACGTGATATCGGGTGAACTAGGCGCTTGTTTGCCTGCTGGCAATCATGTGTGCGCGATAGCTGGTGGCCCGTGGCCTTGGCATCGAACGCATTCACACGCCCTGCTTCACAGCAGTGGAGGAAACCACTGCAAAGTGTCGGATTGAAAAAAAGAAGAGGATACTTTCTATTTACAACAAATTACCCAATCTCTGATTAACAGTGGGGGCACAGAATGGTGGATAGTCGATTTCAATGGTAGTCAGGACCTTGTTTATGTGAAGTCAAGCAAATGGCATTTCGGGATAATTTTTTAAGATTCGAAAAGCCGTTCTACTGGTGGTTCTTATAAATTCTTCTGGTGAATTAAAAGTCTTTTTCCCTAAATCATCTAGCCACTTCTGCTTGCTACAAATTGTGGATGGCTTCAACTTCTACCAATAGCCGGTTCTTAATTTAAACTTCCATGAGTTCACTTATTACAAATACTTTGTGAACAATTTTTGCCGAGATCAACTTTTTATTTAATCCCGAAGACTTATTTTCATATTCTCTCAATATTCTGTTTAGTTCTCAATGAAATTTTCCAAAGTTCCACTTTTTCTCTTGGAGTAGCTTATCTTTTAATCATTTTAAGGGGCACTGGGCCAGAAAAGTCTTGAAGTGTAAGGACTGGATTCTACTCAATTACGCAGTTTACTGGGCCATTTATTAGAGAAACATTACGGCATGGGATGCCACAAGGTAGTAGATGAAGTCGCGATATGGGAAACTTATGACAACAATAGCAGGAGAATTGGGCAGTGTGGGTTCAAGATCAGCCGCATTTGCGAAAGCTTTTTAGTCTTCCTTAAGAGGATGATAGAAAGTTGTCTTCCAACTGAAGGAGCGCATGGTAAATAAGTCTGCCCACTGAGTGGTCGTGGGATTGGGTAGTGATGGTATTCACTTGGAAAGTTTGATTGTAGGGATTCCCTCCCTTAGATCCCTACTGGATCCAATGTGGTTCTCCAAGGCGTCAGCGATGATTAGGCGAGGAGAAGCCAAAAACAAACTATATTTCAATTCTGAGACTTATGTTTTAATCTGGAATTTTTCATCTTCTTGAATTACAAATTATTTCGGAATTTGTGTAAAATATTTTTAAAAGTGCGAAGTCCAGACAATAAAAATTATGTTTGGCTGTTTTTCCCGCCTAAGTGGCGATGACAAGTTAGGACCGACGTTCATTTAATCTCGATTCATCAAAATCACCGGAAAAAGGCGCTGGTGACAGCCCTGTACCCGTAGTTGATGATTGCATTAATTTACGCCTATGTACTACTGGCCTTTGTTGCCACGAGCTTCAGCGATTCACATTCTCGTCTGCGTGGAACTTGTCTCGAGACTAAGCCGGCATTTTGTGTAACCTAGCATGCATACGACCATCACACCATTGTCTGATTGCCTTAGAAGTTGGGTAAGCGTCTTTTGAAGCTGTTCCGTTTCACCTCTACCTGAATGGCTGCTAGGTGAGCTAAAATGTCATGCTGATTGTCAACTTTTGTGCATCTTTTAAGAAGCAGCTCCTAACACACCTACTTGCCCCAGTGCCCAAGGCACTATAGATGCCGCTTTTCATCAAACCATAGTAAGATTGAAGTTAGTAATTATTCATGATATTTTAAGGTTCTTGTCAGAACAGACATGGCTCACACACCTAGTTTCGCGATTCCGTCTAGTGGGCTTCCTTTGCTTTGTTGACAGGCCATTTTGTGCGCCTCTCTATCAAAGGACGAACAGAATGTCTGCCTAATTTGGCACGGCTTGAAGAAAAACTTTTCGTATTTTCAATTTGTCTTTTAAGGTAGACATCCAAAACAGAGTTAATAGATGTTGAGAAAATTATTCTCGTATGACAACGCCATGATAGCATGACAGCTATTTATCACCGAATTATGAATGAATAATTTGCCTGGATAAAAACAATCAAGTACCTTTAGACAGTTTTGCTGCTGTAGGGCATTTAAAGGGTCTGTATTTTAGTATGAATTATGAAGTTCTCTAAACTGCTGACCTACAGAGCTTTTAAAACGCCTATTTATAAGGGTAAAATATGTACCTCATTATTTTCTTTCCACAATGGTCTTAGGCGTTGCCAAATTCTGTTGACCACTGGGCTTTGTTAGAAACACCGAGCCTTCCCTTTTAGGTTGGAAAAAGGGAATGCAAGTTTCCCAGGCCTTGAGCTACCCATGTTAAGTCCTAGAATAGCTGACACACCATCAAGGTAATCAGTCCTTAGTTCTCCAGAGTTGTCACATGCACTACAGCACAGACGCATTGTGCAGTTGACGTTGGAGTGTTGGAGTGCAAATGTGATCCGTTTGGCATGTTATCCATCAAATCGTGTACTTCATGCACAGCACCACTGCCTTTCCATCCAATTACTCGCGTTTCTTTCAAGACTACCGATGCAAGAAAAAAGTTTGCTTTCAACATTTCCTGATATGCCACCACTGCCTTGGGTCTGCCCTCCGCGCTATCCTACAGCGCAAGGCTTTTGATTCCATCTATGTTTTTGCTGCTAATGTAGACCGCATAAGATAAAGCAGCTTTTATATTTTTATGGAATAAGTCCAGCTTACTAATGCAGTCAGCCAGCTTGGGTACCCGGAAAAAAATACAATGAAATCACTTTTTTCAAGGCTGGTCGTTGCGACACTTTCCCATGGAAGACTATCCCTCTTAATTCGGTTCTTGTGTGAAGTGCATGCGAAGTAATTTTTGCAAAATATTTTCAAACATTCCTATTAAATCAGGAAATATATAGCTTCATTAAAGGCTATTTTAACTAATTGAAGAAAGGAGTTTGAAAAGCCGTTTATACTCTAAAATCTCCCTTTGGATGTCCACAGACGACTGAATGGAGCATCAGCCTCCTCGACTAATCAATCTCCGCCATTAGGCTGTCATGTCGATTTCACGGTGTCCTGTTTATACCACCCACGCTCACAGAGTCACGAGTCTTCTGGCTGTTGGTAGCAAACCCTGTTTTAGTCCAGGTCCTTTATAGTGCCTTCATTATTTCCAACTCTCCTTTTTGGTGTGTGACTATGGTTTGTAGTTTCAAAGATGAAACTTGAAGGGAATTACTCAGAGTATTTACGAAGCAAAAAAATTGTGCAAAACATTCTTTCAGACAGTTCATGTATGCTTATGGTATGTGCGATCCCATTTGCGTCTGTTTTGCCAAAAAAGTGGTATCAATTGAGAGAGCCTGTTGTTTGGTTGTTTGTTTGTTTGTCGGTGCACCTGTTGCTTTAAACTCATTTTATGGAGCCTCGATACCATCTGATCAGCAACCTGCATCTGTTAATGCATACGCTGCAAAACAGTTGCGAGCAACAGCACAAATCATTTGCGTGTGCTTAGCATTTGTTCTGATGTTTACTTTTTTCAAAATTTCATCGAGTTAGGACAACACATGTGAACCTCTACGTAGGGCACACAAGTTGTTCCAATTACTACATATTGTTTAATCATCGAGCAGTTTCTAGTCTTGAAAACTATGCAAAGGAGGGTGGGAAAGAAGGTACTTCTTAACCGCGACAGGTGAGTAAATTGCCAGTTTTGCAAAGGTCCTTTATCGTATTTTTCTACCTGCCTGATGGAATTCTCCGCCAGTTCTCAAAGCCAATGTTGTAAATGCGCGCGGAACAACTAAATGGTTGTGGCACTTAGGCTACCTTAGTAGAGAAAACATCAATCCTAACTGTACGGAGGGATAAAAACCTTTCGGACATCCGAGGGACTGGTGAGCTGCCTTGTCAACTTGGGTTGAAGTATGCTTCAAGTTTTTGTCAGATTCGATGGATCCGCCATTGGCTGTGATTTTTAAGCCTCATCCAATACTCCGAGGCCTCGCAGACTACAAGTGAGGTCTTAGAAAATTTCCGAATGTCCTTTGAATGAAACACGCTTCAAATTTCGAGTCGATGAATCGCGTTCTGGCTTTTGTAATTGAAATATATCTAGATTTAGACATTTTTGAACGGTCAAGCTGTTCACCTCCGTGTACGTGAACTTTTCACGTGTTGCTCGTTTGAAAGTTTCACTTTTAGTTTACGAAGCGCCTGTACATGCTATTGCAAGGGTTTTACCCGGTACTTTGAGGTTCACAGGTTCTGAACCCGACCGGAATAATCAGCGGTTAGCACACAGGTTAAGACGTTATCCCATCTTTTTATGCCAGTTCCTTGCATTCCAATTTTTAGTTTTGTTTGGTATTACTGCCCTCGACTAGATCTCCCACGCCTTCCTCTTTTAATGCATTCTAGGGTTATGTGAAGTGTTTTTGTCCCGCCATTGCCATTTTCATAATGAATGAAATCCTTGAACGCGAGAATCTGCATGGCTCTGCCTAGGTAAGTTTGAATAATTATATTCAAGGTTGCCGAACATCAAGGTAAGGTGTGTTTACCTTAATTAACTTTCATGTCATGTTCAATTAGCGCCCAACGCTTTAATTCCGCACTTTTTGGTGTAGATATTGCCTATCTAAGGATCGGTCTCTATTCTGTCCTGGTGGATTGAAAAAGCGTCCTCAGAGGAACGAAACGGAAGCTGTCAAATTTACGGAGGGGTGGGGGACGAAATGCTTTATAAGAAACTCGTATTTCAAACAGGTTTGGTGACTTCATCAAATATCAAGCTGAAAATTTCACTGATGATTGCCAGAATCTGCGAAAAGATGCATAAGGCAGTTTAAAAGTTGTTTTAAATTTTAGCGTCATGAGGAGCTACGACGTTAGGAAAGATACGATCTTAAAATCTCCCGCTCCCATCGTGAGAGAGAGTGAGGGAGAGCGGGCGCAGGCACTATGCTACGTTCCTACTCACCCGTTGGTTTTATTCTGCCCGCCTTGACTCCCGCCCAATCGGAGGTTAGTAAATATGTATAATGTTTTGCTGGACATGTTGCACCACCTTCGGGTCGGACGCAAAAGCCCTAACTTAGCTCTCGAAGGTGTACTTTAAGCACTTGAGAGGCAGCGACACCGAGAGAGTGTGTGTAGCGTTGTTTATTTTCACTGGAATGTCAATTCAAATTTTCACATTTAAGGCTGCTCACCTGAAATGCCACAATTTAAACATGGTGCCCTCTGGACAGGACAGAGACTTGCACTTGGAGTGCCAATGGCGTCGTACGCCGAGGCGACCCTAACGTTCGAGAACGCAAATGATCCGACACAATAGTATTGGCCATTAATTCCACCTTTTTAATTAGCTTATATCCTTGGGATGTAATTAAAATAATTTACGCAAATAAATGCGTTACACCTGTATAAAATGAGAATCAACAAAAACAGGCGGATAAACCACCTTTGCCGCCTTCATATCATTTCTGAGCAAACAATAGGGCCCATTGTCATGAGGAAAGATTTAGCCGTAAAGTATTGAAAGCCAAAGGCTAGGAGGCTAATGACATTGACGTCACGGTGTGCCACGCCGCGAAGACTGAAGAGCCCGCGTAGTTGAAAGTCTCACAAGGGCCAATAAAATCACGAGGCTGTAAGTAGTTCATTGGAACAAGGATTTTCACCATAGTCATTGACACCAAGTGCATTTATTCAAATCTCCACCAGATGGCAGTGTTATTGCAGTCTCCATCTTCCCTCGCGAGTTTTTGTAATTTTGTTGATGTAAATGGGAAGGAAATTTCTGATTACCCTATTGGTCCAGCCATTTCAGACACAAAGTCATTGGTGGGTTTTGGTCAGAAGCTGACGTAATTCCATTTGATTATGCCATGAAAAAGGGCGTACTTCAAACTGCAGCACCCCGAGACTTTTCTGAAGACAAAATAAACCGTAGTGCACAGGCAGAATACGTACTGTTGACGTACGGAAGAGCTAAGGCTACTAGCTTGGCCCGAGGGCCAGGCCGCCCAGGGGAGGCACAATGACGGAGGCCCTAGGTGGCCCATTACCAAAACCGACGGTTAGACAAATGGTTATAATATCACACAAATTTCGTTGAATATAATGTATTTTTAATTAGTCCTAACAGAATTACAATGGCCGTAGAGTCTGCACTACGAGATTAAATTCGAACGATAGGCAGAATAAATAGCCTACAACTGGGCGTGAATTCTACCTATTTTACCACTGTTGAATGAAGTAGGTTAAAAATACCTAAATCTTAATTTTAACGACATATAATGAAGTTGACCAATGTTTGTTCTCGACTCTTGCTGTTTAGATCTTGAGTGGTTGGGTGCGTTTGTCCTTTGGCCTCGGTTAGGCACTAGTGCTGAGGGCCAGCCGTGACATGAAATTAACGCCACAATGTAAACACCTAGGGGTATTAACGTGACATGTGTTATTGGAAGCCAACTTTCTGAACAAGGCGTTTAGATTTGAACCTTCGGTGGATGGTGGAGGACTAACAAGAATCTCTCTCTCTTATTTACATGATTGGTTAGGCTAAACCCAAAAGGGTGCTTTAAAACACATTAACTGGTCTTTAGAGATCACCAGACCAGTAGTTTGTTTGTAGTTTTTAGCAGCATAGGAATAGAAGGAGAATCTTCAAACTTCCAATAAATCTATATCCACTTGTCTATTTGCCATCGGGCTGAGGAGAGGTTTATAAAATTAGCGACGCTGACTCGCCGTTAGAAAGGTCGTAACTCCTCTACCACCGTGGATAAATCAGAGTATCCATCCATGCTGCCTTTCATGTCGTCAGCGTGGCCTCCTTGGGCATCCCCCTGCTACAGCATTCCGCACACTACGCAGAGCGCGTCATCGGTAGGGGAACAACGACCTGACAAAATGTCGGCTTTAATAAAACCTTTTGGGTCCTAACTTGGCGCTTGGTGGCTAACAAAGGCGATGCTGCGCCCACCGACAGGCACTGTGGTAGCAGAACTGCGTACGTTCTTGATACTGCGTTACCCATCAAAGCTCATGTTGAGACCGCTTCCTCTGTTGTAGATAACTGAGTAAAAACGCCAGGCTAATGGCATCTCTTCTAAACAGTGCTGCGGATATAATAACTGCTTTTTATCCCAAAGGTATCGTACCTCGAAGTGCTTCTGCGAGTTTGACTGTCTAAATTTGAAGATTGTAGGGTCCGAGTTATCGCAGAAGACTTACAGGCAGACGGCCTTACCAATGCTGCGGCCTTTGATTTGTAGGAGACTAAAAATATCAAAATATAAGTCAAAAAATTGAGAAATTTAGCTATCGACGGCAGATATTTTTCTGGGCGTAAATTTTGTCTTATTCTCAGAAGTAGTAAATGGATTTGGACACATCTACCTCGCTGCCACCGATGTACCTTCCAGTTACATTGGTGAATGAACTTCTCCCAAAAATGTGAACATCTTTACTGCAAGCGTACAGAAGGGTTGGGTGAATGGTGTAGAAGGGCATGACCATAGTACCATGCCATCAGCACCGACGATGTGCCACAACCGACTGCAAACGCGCATCTTATTCTGTCATGCGATAGTGGCAGAGGTGTCGAGTTTGCCTATTCATCAAGCTAACATCGGTACTGAAAGCTAAAATATAACGATAGAGCTTCTAGCCCTTCCCAATAACCTTCTAACCATGTGACTGGGTCTGAGAATTAAAAGCTTTTTTATTACCATGGTGCATGAAACGAATGAAAAAGGCAACCAAGGCCGTAGTCACATTACACTACCATCATGTAAACATGGCAGCAATGACCGCGCCGGTTCTGAATCTAACAACGAATGACCGGGACAGCGGGCTGGAGGTGGAAAATAGGTGTCTTTAATGAATGCGATCTATACAACACGAGTCCACTGTGAACTAGCAATCACACATACCATCAACTCGTTTTTTAAATTTCATGTAAACCCCCCTTCCACTAACCTCTCGAATAACCACGGAGGACTAGCATCCCTGATTTGGATGCCTTCTGCCCTGAAAAAAGTCATTTTAGATTGCATCCCAAAGGACTAAAATTAATTCACTTGAAAGACCGACTCTATGGTATTGTACTACGCAACTTTTGGACAATATTTCGATGTCATGGTGCCCCATCAGTGCCTGCAGCTTCCCACCCTCCCATTGTGTTACAGCGCATTGTGCCGTGCTCTTAAGTCCTATTACGACCTCAGACACAGCTTGACGCGGTACGTCGGTGATTACAGTGGTGAATGAACCCGATCCAAATTAAAAACAATCTCGATTTTGCCGGCTGGATATCATTACTAAACGACAAACGAGAAGACATCTGTTGTAGCTGGCTAGATCCGCGAAGGCTCACTAACGAAGCCACACACCAACTTCTGGCAATTGGCCCGATCGAGATGACTTGAAAACATCTTCAAGGACTGTTTACGACTTCACTGTGAACACGAGTACATACGTAAATCACTTCGTGCAAAAAAAAACAGAATGTAAAAACAGAAAGTGGTGGGATTTCACCGCAAATTTTTTAAGCTGTGGTCAAAAGGACTCAACAATGATTTATTCAGTCGACAACTTCGCGCATTCTTCATTAATAGTGAAATCATGCATCAAGAAGCTACGCCAATGAAGAATGACAGTAATATTTCAGAATAACTAACTGAACGGGTTTTACAGGACGAAAGTGGAATACGATGTAGTGACACGAGTCTACTACTGCTCTGAAGCTAAATTCGTCACAAGCCCCAAAGTGACTCGACTTCCCCAACCGCAAATTGCCCACACGCTCATTTTCGATCAGCGAAATCCAACTCATCCCTTAGTTGGCACTTTATGGTCCGCATCCACCCCACCGCACTCGCAGTGATTGCAGTTATAATGCCTGATTGACGGTTATTGGGATTCATCATTGTCGTCAATTTCAGGGTTCGCTTTGGACAGCGGGTTGACCCTCGTGTAAAACACGGCCGTGGGAGTAAAAAACGGAGCTGTACACTCTAGGCTTGCAAAATCCACTTGCTTTAGGGACGCTGAGGCGAGACCAAATACCATCGATACAGAACTAAGCCTTTCCCAGCTCATGAGCGCATCAATTCAACAGACGTAATGCATCAACTTAACGTAGAAAAGAGAACCTACCCACATTCTGGCGCGAAAGTTCCGACTACACGCCGCGGTTTGACCTCAAAGTGCGAGGTATGCTATCGGCGGTAACATGGTTTGACTGATGGGTGAACGCTGTGACACATCCTGTCCGTACAGTGACAGGATGTACACCAACCCCCGGATGTTTCCACTCTGATCACATACCAGTTATTGGATTTTTCTAAGTTTTAGAGAAATAAATACGATCGTGACAACGTAACGCCTCCATCCTTGAGCACTTGCGAAATTGCATGTAAAGGCTATTGTTGACATTCTCAGTGAAATTTATTTCATCACTCTCATGAAGCGATAAAATACTCCGACCCCTAGTAGTCGCCAACAACAAAAACAACGAGGATAGTGACTCTGACTACTCTAACGCAGATCAATTGTCATGTGCTCGCATCCTTGTCACGCACTGACTCTTATGGCAATCAGTTCGCCTTGGCGCGTGCCACAAGAAGAGGCTGAAGTAAGCATAACATGAGGAAAAACAAGCAGCTAATAAGCTCAATAAACACATATCTCGTTTTCTTTTTCCTTCACACACCCGCGTACACACAAGCGCACCTCCTCAATACCTCTTCTTCACTCCTCTTGTTCTGTCCAAGTTGGAGGGACATGGGTGTCTCGGGGGTGCGCATGTGTGATACGGGTTTGGAGAGTGGAGAAGCGTTTCGTACACTATACACAAATATGGAGGCGAGGAGGGGAACATAGGGGTCGACAATGGACAAACAAGGCTCATGACAGGAACGATGGTGCCTAGTTCGATGGCCGAGCGGAAAGAAGGGAGGGGGCAGAGACAGAGTGCAAAATGCAACATCTAGGAGGCGAGAGGGCAGAACAGAATGGAACAGAGCAGAGCGGGGGTGGAGGGCATGCGGCCGATGCGAACGAGTAAGCAAAGAAAGCCATACGGATGTGAAAGACCTTGTGTTTGATGCTGTGTGCTCACGCACGCGGCTGCATCAGCTCTATGAGGAATGGGGAAGAGGTAAATTGGGTGGTAGGGGGCTAGTGATACAGAGAGTCAGGACAGACTCCGTCTCCGCTTCCGCCTCTCCATTAGGGAGCGGTGTGTTGTGGAGGTGGTGGGGGGGGAGGTGGCGGTGGTGGCGGTAGACCGGCGGCTGTGTTGGAGGTAGGCGGTGGTAGATGCTGAGCATCCTGAGGGAGATGCGAGGGCGACTGCTGTTGAGGTTGGGTCTGGAATGCAGAGTTTTGTTGCGAAGACTGTGTGGATGGTGGGAAGAAGAGCTGCTGGCCAGCAGACTCGGTGGAGGCAGCTGCAGCAGCTGCGACTTCGACTCCGCGCACGCGCTGCTCAATCTGTTCCCAAACATCGGGCTGGAAGAAACGACGCAGATCAAAGAAGGCCCTCTTGTAGCTCTGTAGGAGGTGATTTTCGTGCTGCAGATTGTTTATTGCAGTACGCAGAGCCTCGTTCTCCGAGTTCAGATGCGCGAATTGATCCTGCAGAGTCTCCATGATCGCCAGCCGAATTACGTCCTGTAAGACACAAGTGTACGATGGTAAATGAGTGAAGCAGCACTCCTACTCCACGTCAAATCAAAGATTAGTGAAAAGTGCAAGAGCCCCTTGGGATCGCCATACGTCTTATGCATGTTGCAAAAGGCATGAAACCCAGTTCCCAACCTGAGAATAAGTGATGTGCTAAATTAGCCTGGCAAATACCATATTGTCATCCCATTTAAACTAGCTGTGCATCCCAAGGCTGGTACCTTTCACATAACAGACACATGTTAAATTATTTTGCTGCCTCCACGAAAAATCTTTGTCAAAAAATTGCACTAGGACTTGGCACATTCCCCACATACCGACCACCTGTAGTGCAGTCAGAACAGTATAATCTTTGACTAATTAAACAGACTTCAAATCGTTTACTCACTGCCTACAAAGACCTAGCAGGATTCAAACGTGGAACTTTAGGCTCCCGTTAGGCTTAAAATCACATTTACCCCGATACATTTCATGTCCGGTGCCCAACAGACGTCACGTAGAGCGGTGTCAACTAAATAGAAACTTTGCTGCTACGACACCGTGGCACTCAAAACATGTGCACATGAATTATGCAACTAGGAAACGCTCCTCCTTCTGCCGAAAGTATAAACACATATGTGCATTTTTCTTCCTATTAATTTGTATCCTAAAAACTTATTTAAGCCTGTAAAGCTGAGCTAGTGACAATACCAGAGAATAGTGATAAGCTTTGTTGCTAGCTAACATCAATCGGCAATAAGTACAGTTAGTTAGTTGGTTAGTTCAGTTAATTAGATATGCAATATGCAGATGAGTTATGGTGCTTATTAATTTCAAGATGCCACGATGTGCGCTCACACATGTGGCCCAAAAGACTCACCGCCTACACAGGGGGAGAGGAGAAAAAATAATGTTTTATGATTTAATCTATTCAAATAAGGCAAGATATGTGATTCGCATAGCCTTAGCTCGATATTCAGGAGCCCTGAGTACAAAGCTTTTAAAAAAATTGCAGTAATGCGTGTGTGTGCAATCATTTAAGTCGTCATAGTGCTCGGTGCTCTCTCAAGTGAAGAGCATTCAAAGATCACGGCCACCCGCAGAGGAGGCATCTTAACGTGAGAGATGAGGTGGATTGCGTTAGTAACACATACATTCATGTTATACTAGCTGATGGGGGATAAATAAGTCAACTAACAAGATGAGAGAGTATGGCGCTGAGAGAAGTGTTTCGGCATATCCAAACGAAGGTATACCCCTACACTCGAGTACACAGTGTGACAGGCAGCCAGACAGACAAGGCTAGAATTGGTGGCCGATATATGGAGATATTCAGCACTTGACCAGAATAAATGGGAACGAGAACGGCGACGACGCTGATGGGGAGTGGTGAAATCAGACAAAAGGCTATTGTCCTTATGCGATTAATGCGTATTGTCAAAGCAACGAGCGCCCAGTTCCACGAGCAAATGACAAATCAGGAGTTGAATGTTGCGTGTTTGCATTTCCCTGCAGGCTAAGAATTTGAATGGTCCTGAGGACCACAGTGTTCGATGAGTCTAATGGTGGTGCCTGTCTAAAACCATTAATTAAATCACACTCAGATAAGAGACTTTGGTTCAGTTGATGAAAATAACCCCCATTTTTAATTAAAACAAATAAGACTCACAAAAAGGCACATATTACCTCAAGGTGGATTAAAATATTTCATTGTAAAATAATCACGTGTAATTCTACACAGACGCACTGACTGGATGAGTGGCGATCCTACGGAAGGTAGTAAGATGATACAAAAAACTTGTGATTCGAGTCAAAACTGACCAATTAAATAGTGCCTACCCAAGAATGCAGATCTCCGTATGAATGCATAAGTAATTTATGCGAAGATTACTCCCATACTTATCACGTCTTCGTTGAGTGATCGGCGAAGAGAGCTGCATCAAAGTCGAGTGCCTTCACTCTATTCTAACCCTCTGAAGTCGTCGCAATATCAGGTAAAGGAGAGAATATCATCTAATCCCAATGTGATCCAAAGGGTGCCCACTGATTAAGCAAAAGAAGGGGATGGAAAGAATACGCGGCGGGGACTTTTAATAATACCGTTCTACGACCTTGGCAACACTTCACTCGCCTGGTGGCCATGTTTTACGTATGGCCAAATGGGTGGGCAGACGTACAGATAAACATCAAAGGGAAACGCACGCACCCGTACACAGGATGGATATTTCATATTATCGATTGTGCGTCCGGAGGGTAGAAGAGATGGCTTTAACTCCCTCTCCCCTCGAGAGAGAAGCATGAAAGGCAGTAATGAAAATTGAACTCTCCTTCCCATTGACAGCTGATCGCTCTTACCATGCCTCCAGAAACGCAAGACCCTCTGGGTAAATTCCCTCCACAAATTGGACTGAGAATGGACCAATCAAGATGCATTATACGCTGAAGTGATTAGAAATCCCAAAGTAGCTCCGAATTTCGCGCATTTTGTAGTTGAGGTAACATCGCTTCGATCATCCAATTTTAAATGTCTATCTAATGTGAAGTAGCATCCACGCCAAAATAAAATTCACGTTAAACCACTTTTGAATTTAATGAAAAATTCCGCTTGTAAAACAGGGATTTCTGACACTAAAAAAGGCGTCCAATTATTAATAATACACAGCTTAGAAGTGTAGACCACACATTTTTGCAGAGATTCCAGGCAAACACTCATGTGTGGTGTTTACAAACACTAAACACCCTTAAAACACCAAGCGCATATTTTACGACGGTAGTCGCTCAAGTGGGCACATCTTAACAATGCCGTTCGATACCCGCGCGATCGGGATTAACTAAAGCCTTCGCAAATGTTATTGTCAGTGACGGGAAATATAGGTCAGAATTTTAACAAAACGGTTACGTGTAACATGGCGCACAACAGTGGACACCACTAAGCGGAGCAAACTGGCTACAGGACGGCACTTAGAGGTCATACGTGGGTGGTGCGGCCAAAAGTTCAGCTAAGCTGGTCGAATTAATCGCACAAATACGCACTGGTCGGTGGAGCTTATGTTCATCGAACACAAAAACGGGACAATCGGTTAGTTTTTGCTCGGAGAAAGCTGGTCACGGTAGTTCCATTATAATGGGTCAGTACGCAGGAGGGAAACAGGTAAGAAAGCAAACAAGTGTGCTAGATCGGTAGTAAACGTCCGTGGCAGAAATCTATGGGTGTCGTCGGACAGCAATCTTCACTGAAACGTCAACAACCAAAATTCATAAATGATATGATTGTAGATAAGAAAACACACCATGCACTTGGGCATTTGCGCCTCAAGGTTGCCAGAGACTGAGGTAGAGGTAGAGGAGGTGGATGGTGTGATACCTGAGGGTTGGGGTGAGGGCTGCGCGGGGCTATTGTTGACGCAGGCAGCGGCAGCAGCAGCGACCTGGAAGATGTTTCTGGCCGCAGCGGAGAGGTCAACTGGTGTCGCCGTGGAGCTGGAAGTGGTGTCAGCAACGGTTGTTGCGACACTGGTGCCACTGCACCCCGCCGGTGCCTGTGAGACCGCTCCACCTGGGCCTCCTCCTCCAAATAACGTTGAGGTGCCCCCCAATCCGCTAAAAAATGCCAAAAATTTGCCGCGTAATCGTCAGTTAACGCGTCTTAGCATATCTCATCATCTCGACCCCATTTTCTATTACCGAACAATACTTTAACTACAAACTACGAGTTAACATCATCTAATCGATTAAAGGCAACGCTAAAATTAAACACCTCGGTAAAACAGCCCAACTTAATTTGGCATGCACAACGAAGATTCCCTAATTGATGTGACCTAGAAGTGACACTGTTTTTCAAATGCATTCATGGATTTGTGATTTGCTCGGCTCTGGGAACAGGAGATCGCCTACGGTCACTACTATCAGTTTGCCCTGCATTTAACATCACCTGAATTAAAAAATTCCCACCCTGCTATCAGCAGCATTTCGCCCTTGTAGTTTCATACAACCAAAAAATGATTTCTTTTTCTTGATTTTTACCACGATGATGCGCCTCTCAGATGTATTTCAATCAAAGTAGAGAGCCTTAATATCACCGCCACAACATAAAACGATAACGGCAACTTCATTTGAAGAAAAGGCACCAAGTGAGATCAATTAAAGCCTGCCAAGGACCACACCAACGAGCATTGGGTACACTGGAGGCAAACGCGCGCGTCGGCTAACCAAGTACAGAAACCTTTGAACCCGACCCACTTATTGGACTTTTCAGGCATCAAAAACAAAGCACTGCGAAGTGTTTCAGTCAACAGAACAGTCGACGTACAAAAGGACCCCTGCAGCAAGCTATTGTCAATTATTGCGAGGACGAGCAGGCAGGAATGACTCTTTCAGCAAAACAAACGCAGCAATACAGAACCTCGGGGCATGTAATTCACCCCTAAAACCGAGAGGGAATGAATGGATAGATACGGAAGTGTTGTAATCCATACAGCAAAGTGCCGCAAACTAGGCAGTCGATATAGCGAAAATAACAAAGAGCAAAAGCCATGCTGTTCTGTGGTGGCAAAGACGCGACAAACCCCAAATTGGAGGAAGACTTTTGGTGGAGGCAAAAAAGATTCCAGTTACTTGTCGCACCCTCCTCTCAACTGATCAGATGAATGCCATAATGTGCTTCCTCTACTAACACTAGCGGTCATCAAGCCCTGTTTACCAGTGTTGCTTATTAGGAGTTCAAATTTCAAAAGGAACCAGAATCATAAATTTAGAACGGAAGCTCCGAAAGCTGCTACAAAAATACCCCAAGATTTTCTACATAATCCCTTTTATCACGGCACTGCACGTATGCCAGTATGGAATAAAGCTGTCTGACAATAGCCACGTAATGGCAAAGAGGGGAGGGGGTCAGCGAAACGTAGTGACGTCAATCATGCAGAAAACATGACCTTTTCCCCTTTGCCTCCAAGACAATTCCAAGCACCATACATTGACACAATGACCGGTTGATAAGGTAATTAACCCAATGGCAAACACTGGATACCCGTGTGTAATCTGCCCTGGTTGCAACTCGATAGCTTAGCGCTAAGACTTTACTGATGGCATTTTAGCACGACCGTCACGCAAAAAGGCACGATTAAGGTGCTCCAGGAAGAGTCGATGGCATGAGAAAGAGGGTGAACGGGGGAGGCCAGCCATCTAGCCAGCATAAAATGTCAGGAATTTTGTTAGACAAAAGTTGCCTCCAGGACTACACGCTGTCTGGATCTCGCTAACGTAGCCGTCTAAGACCAGAGCTGACACTTGCTTTTATGACCTTGTATTGTGGTTGATAAATGGTCATTTCAAAGCCCGTTTTTGGCTAAAAATAGGTCCATGGAAATGTCTGATGGCACATGGGACGTAAATAAGATCTCCGATGGATGATCAACCGCTTAATAAGTTCACTTTTCAAGCGTAAAGACCACCTGGAAATTACAGAGGAACAGTGACTGAGATAGCTCCTTGAACGCTATACACATGACGAGTAGCCGTGACGAGAAATCCCCTTTACCACTACAATCGACTACGTTATGGCCCAGTGAAAACGTCATTGGAATCTTCTAATCGGGATCACATTAAAAAGGCTTTTAGGTAAAAATTCAGATACGCATTCGAAACCGCCACCTACGAAGGCGTACACGACCGGTAAATCAAGAGCAAGGGTAAAATGTTCGAAGTCATGGTAGAAAACTAACTACGCAGGAAGTAATATTGGTTAATGCGAGCGTCACGGGTAACTTGGAGCAATATATACCAGTTCACATGAAGTCATATCGGTTCACTTTCTTAGGGGCATAAGTGAATGCAAAAGAAAACAGTGGAAGGAGGCATTGAAATGCGACTGACACGTTAATAGGACAAACAAGTCGACTGTCGGGGAGGAAATCAGCGGAAGTGGATGTACAAGACGAAATCTAGCATCCAATCATTTTTATCGTGTTGACATGTATAAACACAAGCACGTGTCGTGTATGGGGTGAATGCTCTACATTTCGTGTGCTTAGGAGAAAGCGGTGGTTTTCGCCCATAGAACTGCAGGTTACACACGTACACGCACTGTACGATATGTGCAGAACTTGGTGGGCACTTGAAATGTGATAAACAAAAACTGATCTTCATAGCCGTATGCTAGACGCCTACACACACACGCACAAGCATGGAGATGGCAAAGCGAAACCACCGACGCAGATTAAAACAATAACAGCGACGGTCTGGCGACCCAAAATGTCACAGATACGCCAGTAGACACGAGACAGCCCCGTAGGTTTTCGTGTCACAGTATGTACCGAGGCCTAAGAAATTAGATCACTGTGTCAGCCAGTATGCTACGACCACAAGATCACGATCATATGATCTTCTACTAATGTTAGATATTTTCAAAAAAATACAGCGCCAAACCAAAAAAAAGTGGAAAAGAATTCTGTGAAACGCAAATATTTTGAGTTTAATGCATACTAAAGCAAAAATAAGACGCTTCTCCTTTGGCTAACTCACAAGACTGGCAATGCAACTGATAGAAGAGCACAATCCCAACAGGTCAATATAGATTTGTGGGAAAAAGGTTAATTTGTATGGGACCACTCACACTGTGAAACAGCTTTTTGGAGAATTACACCGACTGGAAATGACCATCACACTGAACGACATTTTTGGCCATTCATATGAAAAAAAAAAATACCATTCACCTAGCGTGGTCACGCAAACATGTAACGGTCTTCAAAATGCAGTGCACACCTTGAAAAAAATTGCAGGCTTAGAATTCCAAATTTAACGATGCGTTAAGGGAACAAAAACAACTCAAAGGCACTCGGAGAGAGAAAGTGAACTTTGATCTCGAAAATATGATGCAATTTCTGTCCACCGGCATGAGAATGGCGACGATGACGACAAACCGAAATTCCCGACGGCGTGTGTGGTATCTCAATGCACACACCACGCGCACTTTACAAATTGGCACTGGGTGGTACGGCAGAAACACCAGAACAGGGTGCATACGAAAACCCCACCCCCCTTGTCACCTACACACTACGCTAAAACCATCAGCCTTCCATCGTGACAATAGTAGCTTCCGATGAGATCCCGTTTTTTCACTATCTCATCTACATCGCTTCAGAACGATTATATTGCGTCCTACACCACTGAGTTGGACTACCATCAGTGGGTGAATTTGAGGACGAACGTTCTCGCAACACCTTTCAATCAGCGAATACGCGCAGAGGCCAGATCCTTGATAATGACTCAGGAAAAAGGGATGAAAGGAAGAAGTCGAATTGTCTTTACCTGTACCCTTTGCCTGGCATGCACCCATGCATATACACACGTGGAGCACTCAACCAGGGTTATTACAAAGAGGAAATTGGCGATAATCAAGAAATCGTTTGTCTGTCACACCCAACGTTTTAATCTACCTCTGTGGGGTGGGTGTTGCAAGAACACTCCGCCTTTATTCGTGCTTGTAGCAAAGTGTCTATTCAATTAAGCCGAATTCCGCAAGGCTAGGGATGCGTATACTCCACCCAAATACATGCATGATTTTTCGAAGGACTCACGTTGGATCGGAGAAGGCAAGCACTTTCGGCATATTATGCCCATCCCACATGGGAGCATCAGAGGGGGCCGAGCGGCCGGGAGCTGAAGGATCGGAAGCGCTGGGAATGGCCATTCCGGAGATTTCCGTGTCCGGAGACAGTTGGACGGAAGCGATTGTCGTTCCAGACAGTGATCGCACACTGTCCAGCGTCCTCGGGGAGGCAGCAGCAGCAGCATCAGCACACTCACGGTGCCCAACAAGCAGGCGACCCACACATGTCGGCTTGCCAGGCATGGTTGGGCTCGCAGGCGGTGCTACCTGCTGCTCCGCGGCGGAGACAGTAGTCAGAGATGGTGGCTGCGATGAATGGGGCACTCCGCCATCAAAACGTGCGGCTTCTCCCTCTGCGCTGATTGTGAGTTGGCGCCGAAGGTAGGCGGCTGACGGATCGATGACGTGTGCGTCAGCGCCTTCCCCCGCATTCACTGTGGGAGGGGAGGCACCGGTTTGAGGGGGTTGGTCCACCACTGTGGGCAGTGGCTGATAATGAGCAGAGCCCCGAGCAATCATGGTGATGCCATCTGTGCCGAAGTCCTCGCTCCCAGGTGGCAAAACAGAATTCACATCGGTAGAGTTGTGCGCGGCCATTTCAACATGTTCGGAGAGGAGTATGGGATTGGAGGCATTCGCCTTGAGACCCAAATTGTTTCTCAACGAGGGGCCGTTCACTTGTTCTAGCAGTGCGTGGTTGGAGACCCGTTCACCAGCGTTCCAAGTGGTAAGGAGGGAAGAAAGGTTGTAGCCCTGTTGAGCAGCCGAGTGATAGGCTGCAAATGTCGCATGAAGAATATGGGAAAGCTCCGAAGACTCTGGCACGGTAGGGAGTGAGCAGGGAACCCGCCTTTGGTGCTTCAACGCAGATCCACGAAAGCCATTTCGTTTGTGTTTAGGATTATTACATTGTGATCCTAAAAGAAAAGGCACACAAACTTATTCATACGCAAAGCACTTACAACAAACTTATAAATCTTTCATGAGGAACCAAGCGCTCACCGAAACTGCCAGGGACATAACAGTAGAGACATCGGCCTCGCTGAGCAAGTGGATGGTTAAAAGATGTATCAATAGACTTATTATTAAGGTAAGAGACCCAATCTGGCACAGCTTTGAGACGACGGTCATGGAAAGACAGTCGATTTGAGTCCCACTGCTCAATGGTCTCGTGAATGCGGGCTTTACGAAAGCGTGACGCCGGTTGAATCGGTGCATTGAGAGAAGGTAATAGAGGATTTACAAAGGAAGCATCAGAAACGGAGCGCAGAGGCTCACCATTGAGTTGCTTAATGAAACGCTGGGTGGGTGGTTGTGACAAGGTTGCCGACGTATTTGGATGATTTGGCCCAGGAACTTGTGATGCAACAGCGATGCCTGATGCTACAGCGGGGCACGTGCTCGGATCAAACGATGGATCAGAAAACTTAGAAGCAGGTAGTTCTGGGTGGTGAATGCTCTGTTGGACCTGGGTGCCAGCGGAATTTGAGGGAACATTTGCAGAGCTTGGTGCCAGCGGAGATTCGGGTAAGGCGCCAGATGCGACGTCCGGATTTATCTGACGAAAGAGCACTGGATGATTGGATGTATTGGGGACTTGTTCATTGGTAGCTTGTGGTGGAATATCGTAAGGTGATTGCGCAACGGAGGTCTGTATTGGAGCACTCGCTAAGGGCACCTGGACTGGTTGAAGATTTGAAACGACAACTGGCTTTACCCCGTCTACGAGTTGACTACCATTGGCGCAACATTCCGCATTCTCAACCTAGCATAAGCAAATTAAACAGACAAGTATGGCATTATGTTATGATGCATTCTACAAAAATTCAAGCAAAGAAGCAACAAGATTAAACCTACCCGAGCAGGAATATAATCTTGTGGAGGGTTTTGCATGACGAACGACTGAGGATGGAAGCCCGTTTGTGGATTTGACTGAAGGAGTTGATGTGGTTCTGAATGGGAATCCAGTTCCTCTTCCTCATCGTTGTCATATTCTTCAGCCTCTAGTGAGATCGTAGATGAATAATGCCGTCCTAGCTCCAAGCTATTGCCCTTCACGGTTTTGTTGTTCATTTGCAGAGATGAAGTTTTGGCGATACAACTACCAGCATAACAATCATCCAACGTATTCATCTCTCTACCGTTCGTATTGACTATGTTCTTTACAGTGGACAGATGCTTCACGCTTAGCAACATAAAACCAGAGCTCCCCTCTTTCCGTGCGACTTGCATTTGCGTTTGTTCTGCAGAAGAAGTGCTCGTGGACCGGATCTCTTGACTTCCACGATCTAGCTCTGATACAATTTTGTCATTATCTGTGTCCGTCGTTGAGGTCATATCTGCAAGGGATTTATCCTGCAAGGGGGAGAGTTAGTGCAGATAGCGGACCAGCACATCTCCGAATATATAATAAGCAACAATATTCACAAACTTTTAAAAGATGGCACAGATGACTGCTGATGACCATATCATCGCCACACGGAACCTAAGTAGCGATTTCATGAACTCCGTCGCAAGAGACAAAACCACCAGCCAATGAACAACCGACATTCACTGACTGGCCAGAGCAAGTAAAATGATTTTAAACTGATCATTCAAACAAATTATTATTCAAACCGATCTTCTTAAATGTCCACAAATTAATTCCTTAAAAATTTTGCAAATTAAAAGAACCTAGTAACAGATATACTTATACAACAAAATGACCAAACAGTGTTCTTTTGAGTCCGTTGGAGGTAAATGGTAAAATGAATATAAAACGACCAGCATATGTTCCACAAAACACGCACCTGCAAAAATCTCGTTTTATAGATGTTTTGCACCCAAAGTGTGCCGTCGTAACGTACTTACAGGCACCTGGCCCCAACGGACACGCGGAATAGCCGTAGCGTCCAGAAACTCCCCAAGGACGAAAGAAGACATAATACTCAGGCAGAATATATATACTCGACATACAGAAGCTAGCTGGGCTGCTAGCACGGGCGAAGGTCGGCCCTCCCGGCGTAATGCAAAGGCCAAGCTACGAGTGGCTCCTCGCAGTAACCGTGAGTTAAACAACTTACGTAGTACATAACTACAGTGCGGAGCGAGGCTCCTCGGTCTCCGCTTCCCAATTCCTAGCGTTCCTAGACAAGCCCGGTTGATTCGCTTTGGACGTCTTTATTAAAGGTGACAAGATGGATAGGGCAAATACAATATTCAAGAAGGAGGGGAGCCGCAGTCACTAGGTAAGGGAGAGGACGATCCGGTTACGAGGTTCGAATTTCCTGATTGCCTCCTCCCTGAAAGGCACATTAAAACAACATAGGTATTACATAGCCCCTCGTCCTTTTAGCGCCGTCCCCGGTGCTACCACTCATGGGCTCCTATTGAGGTTCCTAACCGGCGGCCTCCTGTCTTCGGTCAGGACGCAAACCTCATCTTCGTAAACAACCGGAGGTGGCCCTTCATATGGTCTCATCTTGTTGTGATGAACGGTTATCGGCTGGGTACGCAGTTGTGCGTTGCGGACGAGGTAGTTTGTGGGCGAGAGCGCCTTCACCACCCGAAATGGGTCCCTCCCCCAGGGGTGATGGAACTTGCGGTGTGTTCCAGGTGGGGGAACCGGTCTGTAAATTTGCACTAAGTCGCCTTCTCGGTAGACGTTCTTCCGGCAATGTC